TATAGGTGGACTTTATCTCAGTCTCAAGAGAGCCGTTCACAGGGCCAGCCAAATAGCTCAGCAGATTAAAGCACCTGCAAACCAGTACAGGGACCAGAGGTTCAATCCCCAGGACATGCTGAGATGGGAATTGAGACTGGGCTTGGTGGCGCGCCCCTGTAATCCCAGCTCTTGGGAGGCTGTAAACAGATGGATTACTATGTGTCTGATGTAGTGAGACCTTGAACACCCTGTGGACCCTTCCCTAAAATACAAACAAAAAACAACTATTCATGGTAAAACAACCATCTAACCTTTCCCTGTGAAATTAGGAACATGACAAGATTGTTCGCTATATTGCCATTCCTGTTCAATATAGTACTTGAAACACTAGCCAGAGCAATCATGCGAGAGGATATGCATAGGAAATGAATAAGTCAAATTATCATTATTCATAGTAACCTGATCATCATATAGAAAAGCCTCCAAAAAAGGCACCAAAAGACTCCTAATAAAACAAATTGTGGGGTCAGGGAGATAGCTCAGTAGAATAAGTGCTTGCCTGGCAAGTGCAAGGGCCTGAGTTCAATCCCAGGTTTCACAAAAAAAAAAAAAAAACAAAAACAAACACAAATTGTGTATTGTACCAGGATACAAAACTGGGACACAAAAATCAATAGTATTCTTGCACACAAATAATGAACTCACTCTGAAAGAAACTAGGAGGGCCAGCCAGATAGCTCAGCGGATTAAAGCACCTGCCTAGGCAGACACAAGGGCCAGGGGTTCGCTCCCGGTGTGGCTGAGATGAATGAGACTGGCTGTGGTCACGCACCTGTAATCCCAGAGTTTGGAAGGCAGACAGGAAGGATTACTACAAGTCCAATATGTGTAGTGAGCCCCTGTACACCCTGTACTAAATACATTTAAAAAAAGAGAAAAAGAAACTAGGAAAAAAAAATACTATTCACAATCACATCAAGAAAATGTGAATAGTGGGGGCAGCCTTCTTGGATCTCGCTTCTGTCCATCTCTCAGACAGAAGCTTTTTTTTACCCCAATTAATATTCTGCTCTTAAGTTCAAAAAATAAAGAAAAGAAAGAAAAAAAATGTGGTGAATACTTATGACTTACTGTAACAAAGGAAATGAATGACTCTACAATGAAGACCACAGTACTTTTGAAAAGGAAATTGAAAAAGACATCAGAAAATGGACTGGAGAGGGGCTGGAGAGATGGCTCAGTGGTCTAAAGCACCTACTTAGAACAAGCTTAGCAAAGCACAGTGGACCGCGGTTCGATCCCCCAGCACCACATGCCAGCCAGCCCCTCCCCCTGGTGGGCTGAGCTGGCCACACACACACACACAATAAATAAATGTAAAAATAAATAATTAAAAAAAGAAAATGGACTGGAGAGATAGCTCAGTGACTTAAGCACCTGCCTGTTAAGGACAAGGGCCTGAGTTCAATCCCTGTACCAAAAAAAAAAGGTAAAACATCCATCCACATATTAAATGAATATTAGCAATTAGGGAGATAATTAAGTTGTAGAGTATTGGCCTTCCATGCTCAAGGTCCTGGTCTCATCCCCAACATGGGGAGTGGGAAGAGGATGAATATGAATTTTAAAAAGTTCTAAATCATCAAAAGGAAAATACATCATGACCAAGCAGACTTCATCCCAGGAATGTAACCATTCCTGGGACTTGTAGTGATCCTTCCTGTCTGCCTCCCAAGGAAGAGAGAGAGAGAGAGAGAGAGAGAGAGAGAGAGAGAGAGAGA